AAAGGGCTGAAAGAAGAGAACTCTGAAAACACCAGAGAAAAGGTGATTGAGATACTAAGTCGGATTGCTCCTGAGTACTCTACAAAATTTCCAGAGGTTGTGGACACAGTTTATGGGATGGGAAGAAGAGAGGACTACAAACAACGACAAGTCAATATAGCTATAACCTGTAGCTTATATCAATGGCCGCCCTGTTTCGGCTAAAGAAGAATCCTCTGTTTGTTATCGAATTTAGTATAACTGAGGATGGTAAAAAAAAAAAGAGTCGGGGACACTTAATTCCGCTTCATTCTACTACCTTGTTATTCTAGGCGTAAGACTTTTTTGTTCTTTACTGTTCAAATGGTTATGTTCTTTGTTCTTTGTCCTAATGAAAACTCAATTATCTTTTATGTCCTTAAACGTTAGGGGATTTAAAAATGCTGTTAAACAAAAAAGCCATGTTCCTGTTCTGCAAAGAACAAAAAGCCAACCTTATATTCCTACATGAATCTCACTCTACAGCAGAGGATGTTCAGTTTTGGAGCAATCAATGGGGTGATTCAATCATGGATCCTGCTGGTGAGCAGGGGGTGAGATTTTAGGTACTAATTGTGTGGATCAAGTTATACACTGTAAGAAAGATGGAAATGGTCATTGGGCTGTAATTGTTTTAGCTTTAGATGATTGCTTTCTTATCTTGGCCAATATATATGGTTACAATAATCTTAAACAGAACAAAAATCTGATGGAAGAAACCCTTCAAATAATAAATCATCTAAAAATAAAATTTCCAACTGACAAACTAATTATAGGAATTGACTTTAACATATGTCCTGATGAATGCCTTGACAGAGATCCTTTTCAATACGACTACCCCCATAAAACTACTTTGCTAATAACTTTGCTGACACTTTATGAGTTGTCACGCCCTCTCCAGCCAGAGGGCGCTCCTTCTCTGTCCTGTCCCTAGTTTCCTGTTCTTTGCTGTCCTTCCGGTGTCTCTCTCTCTGGGGCTATATATTTCCGGGTCACTTATTCTGCTTCGCTCAGCATTGACGTTCGGATGTCCTGAGACCCGCCTAGCACCAGGTCGCCGCTCCGTCCATGGCCTGAGGGCACAGGTTTCTATATGACACTCCAGAACTCTTTGCACTGCTGAGCCCGGGCTAACTCCCCATTCCGCCTCTTCGCATAGGGTCTTTTTCCACTCTCCTGCCATTCCACAATTCGTCCTTTCCGACATCCGTGACAGAATGCGGAGCCATCTCCGATCACACAAGCGTCGCTTTTTTGTCTTGCCGCAGTTTTTTCTTTTTCTTTGGTCTTTTTTTCAGTTCTTCTATTCTAATTGCTGGATGCTACACCTGACTTCCATGCCTGTGAGCGGGTCCTGTGCCTGGCTCTCCTCGGGCAGATCACTCCGATATCAGTGATAGGATGTTGAGCTTTTTCCCAGGTTTCCTATTCTCATTGCTGGATATCACTCCAAGCATCTGTGTCTGTGAACGGGTTTTGTGCCTGGATCTCCTCGGGTTGTTCATTCCGATATCAGTGATAGAATGTTGAAAGTGT